ACCTTTTCTGGGTTCAAGCGTTATTTGCCATGACCTATGTAAAAGCTGCTAGCACACCCACCAGTATTAGGGACTCAGTGACTCTTATTTTCTTCCTTCTTCTGGTTTGCCCAGCCTTGGATAACCTCTTGAACAGAGCTGTCCAAGGGAACTTTCTTTGATAATGAAAACACTATGTATGCAGCGGTATGGTTTGTGTCTGTTTTAAGTGTAGTTCCCAAGTTTCATGCTCTGGAAGCCTGGATCCCACAGTGGTGATATCGAGAGGCAGTGCGACTTTTAACAGGCGGGCCCAGTGAGAGAGGCTTGATTGTTAGGAGGAATCAATGCAGTTCTGAGGGAGCACCTTCTCCAGAGACAGGCGGTTGTTACAACGACTGGAAACTCCTCACTTTCACTTTTCCTATTTCACCACGTGCTATTTTTTTTTTTTTCTTTGCACACTCCTGGTTCCCTTCCTACTTCTGCACATGTCATGATGCAGCCAGGAAGTCCTCACCAAGATGATGGTTACCAAGCTATTTGGACCTTCCAACCACCAAAACAGCCAGCCAAATAAATCTCTTTTCTTTATAGCCCCGACTATTTTATTACAGCCACACAAAATGGAATAATAAATGAACCACCAAATACAATACACTCTAGACATATAGCCATCAATCTCTTGAAATCGTGGTAGTTACTGTTAATTATGGGTTGTCTTCTGATGAAATACTGTGTTGCTTACATTGTTCTGTTCTGATTTGCTGTTATGTCCTGTTTTGTCTCAATCTCTTTAAAATAAAAAAAAGAAATATGTTCATTATGATAAGAAATTGAATTTTTAATCTATCTAATTACAAGATGGATTTAAAATAGCCATCTGCGGCAGTAATACCAACTTAAACAGTTGAGCCATGGCTCAGCGCCGTGCAGCAGGAGTTACTGCAATGGTGGGAACATTTGAGAAGCAGGAGTTATAAGGCCAGAGTGAATGCAGACTAATATTTTACTTTCATTCATTTTTATTTAAAGAATCATAGGTGGATGAAGCTGTAGTTTTTGAGAACACAGCTCTAATTTTCAATGTGGTAAGAGTCACCTAAGATTTTTTTCAAATTGCAACTTCTGACTCAAAACTATTGCTGCCATGACAAGAAGATATGCTGAATCAGGCATGGTACTACAGGCTTGCAGTCCCAGCACTTGGGGAGGCTGAGAGAGGAGGATGGCAACTCCAGCCCAGCCTGGGCAACTTGATGAGTTAGTAAGACCCTATCTCAAAAAAAAAAAAAAAAAAAAAAAAAATGAAAACCAAAAAAGGCTGGGACTATAGCTCAGCGAAAAAGCACTGTATTCAGTCTCCCATACCAGGAAAGAAAGAAAAGCTGCCACGGTGGCTCACGTCTGTAATCCCAGCACTCAGGAGGCTGAGGCAAGAGGATCACTGCCAATTCGAGACCAGCCTGGGCTACAAAGTGAGCTCAAGGCCAGCCTGAACTGCACAGAGGACCCTGTCTCAAAAAGACAAAAAAGGAAAGAAAGAAATTCTCAATAGGATAATAATAACTACTATGGACTGGACAGATACATCTTGAATATGTTTATTCCATGAATTAATAGCAATATTAGGTTTTTTAAAACTCAATGATAGGAACTGGGAATGGTGGAGCACACTTGTAATCCCAGCACTTGGAGGCTGAGACAAACCGGGGATTTAGGGCAGCAGCATAAGCACCTGTCTTGCAAGCGCAAGGTCGTGAGTTCAATCCCCAGTACCGAGAAAAGGAGAGGAAAAAAAAGGAAGGCTGAGGCAGGAGGATCACCAAGAAATCAGAGCCAGCAGTGAGCTACACAGGAGACCACAGGAGGCCTTATCTCAAAAAGAAGAACAAAAAAGTCTTTCCCTTTTGAACACTTACTATTCAGCCACAGCAGCTATCTGCTACTTCTCTCTTCCCCCTTGTCTCCACCTTCAAATAAACTGTCTTCTTTTACTTAAAAAATAAACCAATTTTTAAATCTCACTGATCTTTGGAGAATACTAGGGAAACAACTCATTATTTTAAGAACTAGTAAATAAAGGAAAAGCAGAAATATTTATCTTGCCTTTTCTATACAAACTGTACCTTGAGGTAATCAAAGAGTCAGTGAAAGGAAGTCTGTCTTTGTAAAAATATCCCAGATAATAAATAAAGATAGAAGGATAGAAATATATCAACTTACTAGCCCTAATAAAATAGTGGATCTGCACAGTAAATATCAATCACTGCCAATGTAACAAAGAGACCAGTACATACTGCATGCCTCTCAGTGGCTACACAAAATATCTGTGAAATACTCTAACCCAAAAAATACAACCATAAGGGTTATTAACCTGCAGTACAAATGGGAGGGAAATGCCTACATCCTGATTTTCAGTAACATTTAACTGAAATTAACAATCCCTTCAATTTGATCTGTAGGCAACAAAATATAGTAACAATATCTATTGACCTCACTTCTAAAAGAATTCAGTATTTTCAACACCCGACATTCATCAGAACTCCCAAAATCATGATTAGGACCCACTATGAAATTGTATTATTTAACATGTTTTTAAAGAAAAAAAGTGTTATGTATTAACTTATGCCACATTTTAATAATTTGATAAATATAACAGTTCACATTATAATCCTATGTGTTTAACTGTGTGTGCTTGTGTATACGTATACATGTGGGTAACTGGGGATTAAGCACTGAGCCACATTCACACTCTTTTTAAGTTTTACTTTGGAGCAGGCTCACAAATAAATTGCCTGGGCTGGCCTTGAACCTTCATCCTCCTGCATAGCCTGAATTATAAACATGTGCCACCACACGCGGCTTTTTTTAAATGATGAAAACGGTACGTTTAGAATTAGCCAGCTGGAGTAAGTTTAGATGATCCCAACATCCAAAGCATCACAATCAAGAGCCAGGCAAGCACATGCCTTCTCTCCATCCGGCCTATCAGGGTGATGATGGGCCACAACAGTGCCAGAGAGTAGCTTCACAGTTGCATGGTCTGGTGCTTACTGGCCTTGACATACACAATGAACACAAGCCTTTCATTGCCTTCTGTCTTCTTCAAGGCAGACCCCAGGATGAGGGGCCTCCTGTGACAGCGCAGTGATCAAGCTTGTTTTCATTGGGCGCGCTCTTCCAAAGATATCTGAGCTGCTGCATGGTCACGCTGTCTTGGGAACGTGTGATTTGTGCACGTGTGGACCGCTTCTATCAGTTACTGGCCTTCATTCAGAGCATTTGCTTTGGTTTCAGCTTTGGAAAGGGGAGGGGTTTCCTTACTCACTTTCAATGCTATGTTGCTGAAAAGAATCCTAATTGTCATACTTTTAAAATCATTATCCTAAAAAAGATAAATTAAATAAATAAAATCGTTATCCTAAGAAGGAATTACTGTAAACCTAGCAAAATGACACAGTGAACAAAAATTAGAATGTGGGAAAACCCTATGTGACAAATGAACTATTTCTTCAGAAATAAACCGCAAGTACTGGCCAACTTAGGAAGCATCTGTTTCATAAGGTTGAGTTCAATTCTCGGTACAAAAAAAATAGAATGTTTCAAAATAAAAAGTATCAAGGGTATAGCTCAATGGTAGAGTGCTGGCGTGCATGTGGAAGGCCCTGCATTCAATCCGCAGTCCAATAAATAAATTAATTAACTAACTAAACTGCAAGCAAAAAGATGAGACAGGGCCGAGCACGATGGCACACACCTATAATACCAGCTACTCAGGAGGCTGAGGCAGGAGGACCCCAAGATCAACCCTAGCCTCAGTAATTTAGCAAGATGCAGTCTCAAAATAAATAAATACAAAGGGCTGGAAATGTAGCTCAGTGTGAAGGCTGGGGGTTCAATCCTCAGTACCACCAAAAACAAAAAGCTAGTAGAGGGAAGGCCACAGAAAGAGAGTGACATAGATATAACTCATTAAGATGTGTAGGCATTACTTGCATCTTAATTTAACAAATTATCTAAAAAGTTATGAAATGATTGCAGAAATTTGAATACAAACTGATTATTGGATATTTTCAAATTATGGTTAATTTTTAGATGAGATGATGTGACTTTTTCAAAGTCATTATGTTTTAGAGAGGACTCGTGAAAAATCTATGCATAAAATTATATAATGCCTGATATTCACTTTAAGATTACCCAAGAAGACAGAAATAGGTATAAATGAAATGAGTTAATGATGTTTGTTGAAACCACAATAAGGAACAGTTTCTGCTCTTATTTACATGTTCCCCACAATAAAAAGGTTTTTTTTCTTTTAAAGAAAATTAAAAAATAAAATGAAATAAAACAATGGGAAGAATATTAGGTTTCAAAAGCAAGACAGCAGGAAATCAGTCATAGTTACTGTAATGCACATTATTATCCTCTCAATAGATACTCAGACCACCAGACACAGGCACGCAAAGTCCATCAACAGCACAAGCACTAAGTTGTTTCTTTGCTTCCGCTGCCGTCATTTGAGAGAGATTTCAGGTGTGTAGCTTCTAATTTCCTCTATATCTGTGACTCCTGGATGTGTTCTGGGTGAGATACAGACATGAAAAATTAACTAAGTAATATAAGCACTAAATTGTCTCTTTGCTTCAGTCACTATCATTTCAGAAATTTCCAGTGCATGGCTTCTAATTTCTTTCTTTCTTTCTTTCTTTTTTTTTATTTAAAGCCAGTCAAATTTAGCAGTGGGGGGGGGTGGTATCTAATTTCTTTTGTATCTACGTCTTCTGGACTTGTTCTGGTGGGCTGTAGGCCTGAGATTGCACCCCGCTCCTTTGTCTCGACATTTTCCTGTGCTCCTTGGAATCAGTGAGCTGCCGAGTCCTGCGTGTTTCCTGCACTAGCTGCCCATCCTACCGCGCAGGAGATGGGGCGAGGCGCCTGCCCATTAAGGTTTCCGGGGTGGCAGAGAGGTGTGGGGCGCATTCATGGTTCCCCAATGCAGCAGAACCCCAGAGGCGTGGCTTCCTCTCTTCCTAAGGAATTGACCTTATGCTTCTAGAAGTTCTGAAATGGCCATCAGACCACAGAAAGATACCACTTAGGCACCTGCTCCTGAAACCCAACATCTTCCCAAAGCTACCAGCCTTGATTCAGGGCAACAACAGTTTTTTTTAAAAGCTTAATAAAACTTCGCCCATGATACAGTTTTTCAGACATATCAAAACAACATTTGCTTTCAGCTATAATTGTACCAGCAAAGTGTGGTGACGCTCATTTGCTTTAGCTAATCAGAAGTGCTAATATCTGACTAGTTAAGAGAGAGAAAAAATAAATTCACTATTGCTTAACAAATGCAATTGTGGGGGGAGGTGTTAAAATCTTTCAAAATATGGGATTACTGAGAAAAAATAATAAAAAGAGGAAAAACCTGAAGTCTGCTGATCTAATACAACATACCTCAAACAATTTTAGGTAGTTTGGCTTCCCAAAAAAAGTGGTAGACACCGGCAAGGCAGAAACGGTGGCGGGTTCTGAAACAAGTGGCTAAGGTTACACAGTGAGTTCAAGGCCGGCCTGAACTATGTATTAAGACCCTGTTAAATTTCCAAAAAATTTATAAATGTACAAGACCCTGTCCCCAAAAACCAAACCAAAACAAATAAGAAGCTTTTCCAAAAATCATCCTTAAATTATAATACCAGTTATATTTCCTTGTATTTATGATTATTATACCAAGTCACAGGACATTCTTGATATTGGCAAAATATATTTTTCTCTACAGATCTTCACAGCACTGTATGTCATATTACAATTCTTAGATAAGAGGAAGGGGAAAGTGAAACAACCCATCCAATTATGTCTTCAACCTCTGGTCATGCCCAGCCCTGTTAGCTTCTGAAACTGTTCTGTTCTAAATCTGTGACAACAGAAAACTCAGAGCCAAGCACACTTGTAGAAAGGGTAAAAAAACAATGATTTTATACATCGGATGCATTATTGAACCTTAAAAGAACCAGAGAATTTTAACATCTTTGTTCATCTTAGAAAAATGAGGAAAGCAAAGTGAACAGGTAAAAACAGTAATCATAACATTAGAAACCTTCTCTTTGAATCCTGTGCCACCAGGAGTCACAGCTCACCTTTTCTCTTTTATTTTTCATCCAACCTTCTCCTACCCTGTAATTCTCGGTTGACATTCAAGGTTTCCAGTGTGCTGAGCTGAAGCTCCCTGAATGTGTAGTGGGGCGCCTACTATTGGATATTATTTATATATTACATTCATGCTAATGGACCTCATCAGAACACTGTTTTTTATAGCACCTCATAGGTTACAAAAACTTTCCTACCCTTTTCCATGATTTCTGACCCTTTAACCAACACCGTGCTGTTACAAATGAAGAAACTGAGGCCAGGAGATGTAAAATGATCACCTTACTGATGTTCATAAGTGTCTGAATCACATACCAAATACAAACCAAGTGGACCTAATTAGGGTGCTTTTGTTAGCCAAGTTTTATCCTCCATGATACTGTCAAAATAACTTCAGAGGATCTATCTTTTTTCCTCCTCTTACCAAATAACTGATGACAAGAAAAGAAACTACAAAAAATACAGGCTAAATTATACTAATGCCATCTCGTTCAATAAATGCCTGACCTTTTATCTGATCACTGAATATTATTTCTGTACTTTCTCCATTCTATATAATATATTCCATAATAACTAAAGACTCAGTTATCACAGAGGTAGATTCATTTTTACATTTACTTGGAATTTTGCATGTAAATATATTCTAACATACTCCAATCAGTGTAGTAAATACTTTCCACGCCATGACATGCACCACCTTCTGCAATGCCTGGCAACTATAAATCATTACATCATCCCACTGCTAGTAAGACAGATGCTACCAGGGGCTGGGGATGTAGCTCAGCAGCAAAGCGCCTGCTTGGCAGAAGCAAGGACATGAGTTCGATCCTCAGTACAAAGGAAAAAAAAAAAAAAGAATAGACACTATCAATATCAAGCCCTCTACAAAAGCGGAGTTAAGCAAAAATAATCAAAACGATGATAGCTGAAGAGGCCAGTAGTTGATGTCTTAAAACGTGAACACATGCCTGCCTGGCAAGTGCAAGGTAGTGAGTTCCAGTCCCAGTCCCAAAAAAGAAAGACAGACAGACAGAAAGACCCTAAACACACACAGGTTACTGTGGAATAAGGGCAAAAAGCCACCTGAGGTATGTGGAGTAACTGCTCTGTGGATGTGTGGCTGGGACAGAACCCACCTGGTCATGTCTGGAGCTGGTCTCGCTCAGGAACACTCACATAAAAGTTTCTCTTCTATTTTTTTTCAGGACAGGGCTTTGTGGTAACATACTATTCCAAGCTTCCACTTTAAGGCCAGAACATGGGAAAAGTTTTCTTGCCTATTTAGTAGTAAGAATCTAACCTTGGAAAGCAACTTCAGCAGCCCAGAGTAACCTTTACTATCATCTCACTAATGATGCCCAATCCAACTCCACAGTATGGTTTTAGTACCTAGCACTGTGTCAGGCTCTGAGAATAGAGTAGAGCTGCTGACCTTAGGAGTTAATAATCCAGCAATGAAAAAGATAAACAAACAATGCTCAGTGTGATGGGAGATTTACAGGTAGGTTAGGACTGAACCTAACCTGGGATTTCATGAACAGGCTTCTGTGGAGGACCACCCTTGAATTAAGAGCAATTATCTCTATTTTGGCTAAACCTGGCCCTATTTCCATGTGCTGATATGTTACAGAGCTGGCTAGGCCACTTCACTTCTTTGTCCTTTCAATTGGCTCTAAGCAATGTAGATAGGGCTGGCCGAGGTGCTGATGTACAATCTTTGACGCTAGGTGACAGCTGCTGTTTCCCCGCACTGTGACTCCCAAACACAGATGAGCTGGGAAGGGATACAGAGACACTGCTCCACACTGTCAACTGGGATGGAACCTGGAGATAAAAATTTGCACATCAGAACTGAAGCACCTGGCCCCAAAACATCAGAGGCTGCCTCAACGTGTCACGCAGATTGCTCTCTCTGCAGAGGGCAGAGGTGATCTCAGGCCACCCGTCTAGCCCAGCTCACAGCACTCCCATTCTTCCTGCGTCTCACAGTCACTCATCCTTTACCACTCCCTTCTTCATGAATGAATAAAACTTGGGTTCAGGCCTGGGTGAGGCCTTTGTTCCCAATAAACCTTCATGCTGGCTGGACTTAAGACTCCTTGGTTCCCCATAACTATAAATATGTCTTAGTGTCTTTCTTTCTCACTATAGGTTGCACTGGAAGTGGTAGATTGGAATTAATTTATTGGGGTTCCATAAATATAAACTTTCTGATCAAGATAAGGACCGGGAAGGCTCTCTACAGTCCTCTACGTGGAGTGGTATTTCATCTGAGACTTGAAGAATGAAGAGAAAGTAAGTGTTCAGATCCAAGACATGGGATGGGAAATTCCTCCCAGCAGAAGACCAGCATCCTGCAGTTGACGATAGCCTGAAGAAACAGCTCACCCAAAGGGATCAAAAGGTGTCTAATGTCTTTCAAAACTGCGGTAAATCTGAACAGAGTCAGCACGGATTCTTGGCTGATTATTTCAAATACTGAGTGTGCACAAAAGGCTGTGAAATGGTTTCCTTGACATTTTATGAGTTATTGCTACATTTTTACCAACATCCAGGCAATCTCATTTCTCTGCACTCAAAGTTATTTTTTTTTCAATTGGAACAATTTTTAGATGGAAGGGAGAATAGGCCTTCCAAAGATATCCATGCCCTTCCACAAGCTTAAAAATAAGATACCAGACTAGGCAAAAGGGACTTTCCAAACATGATCAAGGTTAAGGAAGCTAGAGGTGGGGAGCTCATCACGGATTCTGAGGCGTGCCTAATCTATTCCATTAGTCCTCATCAGCAAGAAACTTCCCCAGCTTCCTGTTTGTTCCAGCTATTCCACTTCTAGGCATATTCCCAGAAGAACTGAAAACATCATACCACAGCGATATATGTGCACCCATGTTTATAGCAGCACACTTTGTAATAGTCAGATCTTGGAAACAACCTAAGTGTCCATCAACTGAGGAATGGATAAAAAAGTTGTAGTATTTTTATATAATGGGGTACTACTCAGCTATAAAGAATGATCACATTGAGATATTTATAAATAAATGGACACAGCTTGAGACATAAGCAAAATAAATCAAACGCACATGCATAAATACTGAATAGTTTCCCTAGTGTAAGAAATAGTAAGAATACATAAAAGTATGTGGTAATCATAATTCCCCATTATATTGCTTTAAGCCTTATAATGTTTTCATTCATTAATTGGAATGGTTTTATTCTGCATTGTTTGATTTTATTGTCTGTGATGGTATGGACAGCTATTTTGAAGAAAACAAGACATTATAATAACTAGTGATGATTTAGTATCATCTTGTTTTGAAGTCTCACCAAGGTTTTGTTCTTCTGTCTCCATCGGTTTTATCATGTTGTATTTTACTGGATTTTATTATATGTGATAATATAAACAAAATTTTTTATGGACAAGGAGATAATATAATAACCATTGTTCATTTTCTGTTAGTTTGGTTCTGAATATCCTGTAATACTTTCATTCTCTTGAATGGTTTTACACTATCTTGTTATGTTTGATACTATAGTATATGAAGGTATACTCAAAAATTTCAAGGAAAGAGACATTATGGTAGCTACTGTTATGTCGGGTTGTCTTGTAGTGAAACACTACGTTGCTTAAATTGTTCTGTTCTGACCTGTTTTGTTATGTCCTCTTTTATCTTAATCTTTTTTAAAAATAAAAATAAATGAATTTTTAAAAAAAGAAACTTCCCCAGCGGCAGTCAGAAGGAGACATGACTAACCGACTGTCGTAAGTTGCTGGCTTGGAAGTTTGAAAGAAGCTAAGAGGCAAGGAATACAGTTCTCAAAGCTGAAAAAGGCCACGAAATTGATTCCTTCAAAGCCTAAAAAAAAATGCAGCCTCAGGGTGGGGGATTTAGCTCAGTGGCATAACCGCCTGCCTGGCAAGCGCAGGGTTGCGAGTTCGATCCCCAGTACTACAAAAATAAAAAAATACAGCCTCACTCAACATTTGGATGCTGTGCCCTCTTTTTGAC